GCGGATTTGCCCTCTGCGATTATATCATCGCGGTAGGGACGCGTTTTTCCTTAGCGCTTCGAACGGCGCGAATTAGTCTTCGCGCTTATGTCTCCGCGGATAAGGGCTTCGCGGATTTGCGGTGGAACCCATTAACACAGCCGCTTCCTGCAGTCCTTTGAAAGCAGCTGTGCCTTTTTCCAACCTCACAAGGCTTCTCTCCACATTGACGCTGTTGGGTTGAACCTTGCAAACGCCAAACATGACCCCACGAGGAGGTCAGTCCTTGTTGCTTTCTGAGCTTGGTGGTTTTCTTGCAGACATTTCATTCCCCAATGAAACATCTGCAAAAAAACAACAACATCTGGTTCCTCTCCTAACTAGCATTGATGATGTTACCAAGCTCCGAAAACTCTGGAACCCTTCGTTTTCGACTAGAAATATTCTCCGTGATTGTTACAAGTTTCCATCAATTTTATTCACTGTGCTGCTGGGTTTGAACGTGTGGGGCTGACCATGGGGGAGAAGGAAACACTTGTCCTTTGCAATGTGTCAGCATGTTCTTGCGAGATTTTGAAATGTTTTCGGCTCTCCGGAAATAGTAGGGGGACAGCAGAACCTACGAACAGAGGAACACGAGGGCAGGAAGCAGACATCACGAGGCGGGGAAGTGGGGTTGATTCGAACTGTAGACTTCTGCCTGTATCTGTGGGGCACCAGGATGCTGGCTGTGGAAAGAGTGGCATTTTCCATCTCGACTCCCAAACAGCACCTTCTCCTGGCGTCGAAGAATAAGGTGGTAATGAAATGTGAAAATTAGTTTGGTCCTCAAGAGGAATTTTAAGGTGTGGGCTGCACGCAAAGCACTCAGCTTGCAAAATGCCTCTTAATTAAAGGCACATCATCATCAACATCGTTATTATTATTCATTAAACATGGGACTCAGTCAATTGCACGTTCAAAAATGCATCACAAATACCCTTGACCGGTGCTAAAGGTTGATAGGGGTCGCTGCCAGCGTCCTAGGTATCAACTAAGTACCTTCTTAAAATGTACGATGTTCCGAGTAGTGCAGTTTTTTGCAGTTCCTCTGGTGTTATTGCAGGGAGCTGTAATTTGTTGATGTGTTTAAAAAAATTCTTGGACATGGTACCAAGTGCCCCAATGACAATGGTGGCGCAGTGGTTAGGGTGCAGTCCTGCAGCCACTTCAGCTGACTGCTAGTTCTGCAGNGAAGGCTCCTAGGGTGGAGCTGAAAGGCAAAAGGGAAGCAGTATGCTCCCTCCCTCCCACACACAAACACACACACACAAACACACGTGTGTGTGTGTGTCTGTGTGTGCTGCAGATGTGATCCCTGTTTTTTAAAAAAATCAAGAGTTTAACAGAATAAGAGAGTTGGAAGGGACCTTGGAGGTCTTCCAGTCCAGCCCCCTGCTCAAGCGGGAGAGCCTACATCTCTTCAGACAAACGGTTGTCCAATCTCTTCTTGAAAACCTCCATTGACTCCCCAAACTTCTGGAGCCAAGTTCTTCCACTGATGAATTGTTCTCACTGTCAGGACATTTCTCCTTAATTCTAGGTTGCTTCTCTCCTTGATTAGTTTCCACCCATTGCTTCTTCTTCTTCTACCCACAGATGCTTTGGAGAATAAATTGACTCCCTCTTCTTTGGGGCAGCCCCTCATCTACTGGAAGAGTGCAATCAGGTCACCACTAGTCCTCCTTTTCATTAAACTTGACATACTCAACCGTTCTTATGTTTTAGCCTCCAGTCCCCTAATCCTCTTTGTTGCTCTTCTCTTCTTCTCCCTCTTCCCATGGATGACTCTGAACAGGAATACATATGAAACCTAAAATAATCTTCTGAGCATTAAGGGAAGGGGTTTGAGCATTGCTAACTGGTTGAATGAGACTTCATGCAGACACAGACTTCCCTAGTTATCAGCCAGGCCTTCCCTAATCATTCATTGTTCAGAATTGCTATCAATCATTGTCCAGCTTGCGTTGTGTAAACTCCTGTGGCTTAACTCGATTTCTTGTTAACTCTTCAGGCCCTGTTGCTGTTGGGAGCCGTCTCCTTGTTGTGCCTCGCTCTCGACCTCTTGTTCCTCCTCTTTTATTCCTTCTGGTTGTGTTGTCACCATCGGAAGAGTGAAGAACAGCTGAATGCGGATTGTTGCTGTACGGCGTGGTGCGTCATCATTGCAACTCTAGTGTGCAGGTGAGTTTTGTCCCCCCTCGGAAGAGTTCACCAGGATGAAGTTGTATTTGCTACAAGGAGCAGGGCCCAGCCCTTGTAACCCATCTCTTGGGATCTGAGCAATTCCAGAACCGCAGCTTGCTCCATTTAGGACACAAATTTTAGGATTTCTCAGATCAATTTCAGAATAGAGCTGGAAGGGACCTTGGAGGTCTTCTAGTCCAACCCCTTGCTCAAGCAGGAGACCCTAAGCCCTTTTAGACAAATGACCATCCAATCTCTTCTTAAAAACCTCCAGTGATGGAGCCCCCACAGCTTCTGAAGGCAACTTCTGTCCCACTGGTTGATTGTCCTCACCGACAGGAAGTTTCTCCTGAATTCCAAGTTGCTTCTCTCCTTGATTAGTTTCTATCCGCCCGCTCATCCATCCATCCATCCATCCATCCATCCATCCATCCATCCATCCATCCATCCATCCATCCTTCCTTCAGAATAGAGCTGGAAGGGACCTTGGAGGTCTTCTATTCCAACCCTCTTCTCAAGCAGGAGACCCTAAGCCCTAACCCATTCCAGAGAAGTGGTTGTCCAGTCTTTTCTTAAAAAATCTCCAGTGATGGAGCACCGACAACTTCTGGAGGCAACTTCTGTTCCACTGGTTAATTGTCCTCACTGTCGGGAAGTTTCTCCTTAATTCCAAGTTGCTTCTCTCCTTGATTAGTTTCTGTCCATCCGTCCATCCATCCATCCATCCATCCATCCATGCATCCATCCATCTATCCATCTATCCATCCCTCAGAATAGAGCTGGAAGGGACCTTGGAGGTCTTCTATTCCAACCCTCTTCTCAAGCAGGAGACCCTAAGCCCTAACCCATTCCAGAGAAGTGGTTGTCCAGTCTTTTCTTAAAAAATCTCCAGTGATGGAGCACCGACAACTTCTGGAGGCAACTTCTGTTCCACTGGTTAATTGTCCTCACTGTCGGGAAGTTTCTCCTTAATTCCAAGTTGCTTCTCTCCTTGATTAGTTTCCACCCATTGCTTCTTGTCCTGGTGTTTTGGAAAGTAAGTTGTCCCCCTCTTCTTTGCGGCAGCCCCTCAGATACTGAAATACTGCTATCACCTTCTATCGAATTCTCCCTCTGGATATTTGTAGTGCAGCCAAGGGGGGTCTAGATTATCTCCACTTGATTATCATGGGATAAATATATTTATCAGACTTGTGCCATGCTTCAAATTCACTTCCAAAACCGGGCTTCAAAATGTGCAGGACCATTAACACCGTGGCACGACAAAACCGCGCTCGTCAAAATAGCGGTGATAAAATCGCGTCGCTAAAGCCGCGATGTCATCACTGCCGCGACAACAGCACGGCGACAGAAGGGCACTTTGAAACGGCGCCACAGCAGAAAGCCGAT